TGTCGTCTTTAGTTTCGTGGTATAAAAAAGATGGATTATGTTTGATCCAGTATTGGTTCCGAACCTAAGGAAGTACATTCCTTTCTTTATGCTTTAATTAGAGGTTTGAGTCCATCAGTCAATGCGCCTGACCTAAAGCCGACGTGTCTCAACTTTTCCAAATGCGCTCGTTATTTTAAATTGACAGTTTTTGAACTTCGATAACTATTGGGAAGGTATCACTACATGCACAAGAAAATTTTGCACCATCTCCAACTTTTCAATGATAGCGGCAGCAAACTGAACTGCTTTTCATGTAACTCGCCATATAAGCTCCATCAACTTTGATCCACTCACACCTGCCGCCCTTTGTTTAGACCCTAGTTTGCCAAGTGACAGCCTTGACACACACACATCCTTTGGGTCTGCTTGGCGCTCTCCTGCAGGCCCATGCAATTAGGCGCGTTCTTGCCATTGCCTCTGCCAGCGGTGACTCCGCATTTCACGCCATTGATGCTGTTCGTCTAGTGGATAACCTTTGCGGAGACCTAGAAGCAGCTGATCTCTCCGCTTTCTCCTTCGGACGACCCTCTAATTTCCATTTGAATGCGCTACAACAGTATCGGGAGAAACTGAACACGGTGAAAAAACTTGTGATGCAAGAGTCGTTTCCAACAATTTCAGAGGTAGTTAGTCAGCTCGGTAAGTGTGTAGTAGCTATCTTCATGCCGTTAGCATCTTTGTGCGCCGGACACATCATTGTTTTTTTCAAATGTGCAGGAAACGGCGAACCAGCAATAGAGGCTATACCCACAGCGCTATATATCTTCCTCCAGTGTCAAAAGCCAATGCCGCACATCCCTTATGAGGTTTGTCACTTTCTCCTCTCAAAGAAAAGCGAATCCGGACCCCATTAAATCACCCATTTGAGTGAGAAGTTTGAACTCCACCGTGCCATTGGTAATATGTCTGTAAAGGGATAGGCTTGACTTGAGCACCTCTTCCGCAGCCAAGAAATGACAATAATCACTCTGTTCACAGATACCTCTCACTGACCATATTAGCAAAGCTCAAGGTTTGAAACAATCACTCTTTTATTTTCCATTTACACAAATCTTGATCTACGAAGTCCGCCTTCCATAAACTTCATTTGTGACTCGGCTTTCCATCCTTTAAAGTCGCTGCTGATCAAGTGCAGTATCTATTCAGCGCTGATTGGCAATGACACCGATACAATCGGCTGCATGGCATGTGCTATCGCAGGTGCTCTTGTCGGTGCAGAACGAATTGAGAATAGTTCCTCCCCTGGCGACATGCACATCCCCGGGACCATCCTTGGTCACGTGGAGGGCCTTCAGACCATCAACGGGTATTGTGATTGGCTCATTCAACGCTTCAAAACCAATGAACACTGCAACTGAAAGTACCATCCTTTACTATCATTTGAGAACTGCTTGAAAATGGTCTCCTTAAGCGACTCAGACCAATCCCAGTGGATTTTTTCCCTAAAGTACTCGATGTGTGATTATAATATGGTATGCGATTTCAATAAAGCAATTGATTACGCGGATGAACAAAAGTCGGCGCCACCAAAACTTGAGCGTAGTCCTTTCAAAATATACCATAAAAGAAGCAAACTTTAATAAAAGGAGAGCTAAATTTGAATAGTGAGAGGGGCAGGATTGTGGAAGTAGGACATGACAAGTACACATACAGCAAGAACAGCCATGGTTGCCAGATGCTTAACGTCATCTGATGCTCGAGCATTCCCAAAAGTTCCTAGGGCACAAAAGATTGCAATCCAAGCGCACCATTTACTTTCAAACATAACGCTTCCTATGCTCAAGATCATACCCAGAAAGCTCATG